CCCCCCCCCAATACATACATACAAACGCCTCTCAAGCGCGCATCTTTAATTCACGTTTTCTTCCACGACCCCCCCCCCCCCCCCCCCCCCAACGCAAACCCCAAGAGCTTTTAGGCTCTCCGATGCTAGCCGCTCCTCTCCCTCCAAAGGCTGCTTCTCCCCGCCTTTTTATTTTCCCTTCTTTTCCCACCGCCGAAGAGCTCAGGTACCTCATACTGGATGTATTGCTTCCGCCACTCCGGAGTGATGTGTGCGGAAAGGTGCTCGGCGAACTTCATGCTGCTGCTGCTGCCGCTGCCGCTGCCGCTTCCCCCTTTGGCTTCTTAGCCTTGCCTGCTGGAGGCACTGCTTTACTTTTCGGCTTCGCTCGAGCGCCTCAGAGCCTGCTCAAAAGAAAGCCGGAGCCGGCTGGGATGTCTCCTGTCGGCGCTTGAGCTGCGGGCGACGGACGCGGACGCCTGCGACCTCCGCCGCACATGAGCCCCGCCCCTTGAATCTCCTTTTTTTTTACACACAGTGCCGGCCCTAACGCGCTTTCCCGCTTCCCCCTTCAGGAATGCCCTGGCGCGGCTCCCGCCGTCGTTGCCCGCTGCGGCCCCGCAGCTTCCTCTGGCGCTCCTGAAGCAGCGGCAGCCTCCGCCGCCATCTTTCCTCTCCTCCGTTGGCCTGGGCCCGCCTTTCCACACTGAGGGACCTGACGTCATCACCCCAGGAACCGCCTTCCTCCCGAAGAGCAGACGTAAGGCGAAAACAAAGGGGGGGGGGGGAGAACGAACACTGCTATCGGCCACGCCCACTTCCTCTCCCCTCCGCCTTTCCTCCTATCCCACACAAACGGAGCGAGAGGGGTGTGAGGAGCTCGAAAGGGGCGGGGCCATCGTTCAGAAACGCCCACGGCACGCCCTGAGTGGTAGCGGATTTTCAAACAAAACGGGATCTTAGGGTTGGGACGCCCCCCTTTTTCTGCCCTGCGGCAGGGACTTGGGGGCGGCCGGAAATATTCCGGCTAACACTGAGGCAAAAAAAGGGGTTGACTTATTTAAGGTCCCCTTTGCTTTATCCTAGGGTTACTTTGCCCGAAAACCTCGCTTGAAGGGAGGGGAACGCTTGCATTTTGTTAAAATAATGTTATTAACATGCTGATTCGAGAAAGTGATTTTTACATGGATAATTAGCCCACCAGACCTTTCGTTTTATTTATTTCTGATGACATATATAATGCATATAACGCATGTACACGCACAGATATGTCATTCTATGATAAGTATATCCACTGACTCCCACATAAATTTTCCTTGTGTGGCATCAAGTTTTTTGATCACATAGATTGGAGAACATGAAAATTGATTGGTTAATTATATACCATCAAGTTTCTTCATGACAATGAAGAACACTAACATGTCCTTTCATGTCTTCTAACCTGCACACATAGCAAATGTAACCTGCTGTTAGTGGTCCATTTATCTTTCCTTCCACCTTTCCTAGCATTAGAGCTTTTTCCAAAGAGATGGGTTTTCACATAATGTGTCTGAAGTAGTATAATTTGAACCTTGTCCTTTGTGCCTCATGTGACAAACTCTGGGTTGAGAAAACAAAAAGAGCACGTTTATATTTACATGTGGATGCTTACAGCATGTCAAGCCACAGTGCTTGGCAAAAATAACCTACTTGAAAGTTCCTAGACAATAGGAGTTCAAAGGCATTTAGTCCCAGGATCAGAAATCTTAAAATATTCCATACATCAACATATTCTGACAGATTCTTAGCTATTTTATTGCTCAAAACAATGCATAGAAATCTTAAACTGATACTTTACGCCTGTGTTAGATTAGATAAATGTGAACAGCATTCAGATTTTGCCCTCTTATGCCCACATAGGGATTCCAGACTAATTCCCTGTTTGACTCCTCCCACTGGCTCAGACAGTCTCTCTCCAATATGGGGATGGATGGGTGAATTGTTTCATGTATGCTGTGTCCATTTTTCATTCACAAAAGAATATTCTGATGTAGAAATCTATGGAAACACTTTGCAAAAATAGTGTGGCCTCACACACATGCTCCTAAACTCCACTTAATAGGACAAATAAATAAGCATGAAAAGGGAGATCCAGTATGAACTGCAACTAATAGTTCAGGAAATTTTGGATTTTGTCCCAGTTTTCTTAAGTTAACTTAAATACTGCCCAAGAACTGAAGAGAAAGGCATGTGCCCACAGCAGCTTAAAGTGGGCAAAGTAGTTGGGTAGACCAACCACTGATGTATCATCAAGGAAGCATTCCAGGTCATGTTCACTACAATAACTGTTTCAGAAGAGGCAATATTTTAAAGGTGGAACAGCTAAAGATGATTTAAAGCTGCTTTAACTGTGATGAGACAAAATGACAGCAATATGTTATAAAAACAATTAGCAGAGCATGTCTCAGCTGTGATTAGATGAGCCCCAGGAGAAAAACTTTGCTCATTCCTACTCAAATAACCAGAGCTTCCTGAATCAGAGCAAGCAGTGTGTTGGACCAACCCTGAATCCCCAATAACCTCTCAATTGCTAATACAAGCACTACATAAGGACAATATAACTTTCCTGCTAATTTCTCTCAACTACTGTCATTGAGAGGCAAAGTATTTCTTGTAAATAACTATCATGTCTAGTCGCCATAGACAGCCATGATTTAACCATTTAACAAGGTTAATGGCCTGCTTTGAATAGTATAGTTATGGTCTCATAATTAGCTTTTATATGATGGAGAAGGAAAAACAGCTTTTAGGCCAAGCTGGCTCAGTGAAGTTTTCTTGCCAACAGTATGAAGAGATTTGATATTAACTTGGGGGGGGGGGGGGAATTCTGGCTTCTGAGTCAAGCCTACAAGTCTGGAACTTTCCTGGTGGTCTCCTATCCAAGGAGTAATACCTGATTTTGCTTAACTTTTTCCAAGATCAGTCATGACTACCTAGGTGTTTATGTCTAGTTGATCTGAAGATTATCGTCACTTAGTGTAGTCCTAATTTGTGCAAGGAAACCTACCGGTAAATAATTCACATTTATGTGAAATACTGGGGAAGAAGGAAGAAGGTTACACTGTAGCCTTTCTCAGTTTCTTTTCTCTTGATGGGCTGGACATCATTGAATTTCCAGCCAATAAACTGTAGGTATTGACATACATGGGGGTGTGGAGGTGGGTTTGGTGGAAACAAAGCTGAAAAGGGGGATTTATTGGTTACATAGAGCACAATTTATGTTAAAGACCTTACAGCTCTCATAGCACAAGAGATGTTCTGAGTGGATTAACATTTTTATAATCCTTCTGAAATGGTCTGAATGTAAAAGAACTCTAAGGAAGCATAAAAAGATAAATTAAGCCATCTAAATCTTTTATTTTTTTCTATATTAAAGCCACTCATTTATCCAAAAGAGGAGAGGGTGTTTGTATTTGCAAAGCAATCAAAATCTTCCCTAGCAGCAAAAGAAGAGCATGAAGGAAATTTAGGGCACAATTGTTTTAATCTAAGGTACTCTAGCTAGCTTACGTGGGTGAAAATATATCAGCCCTTTTATGTTGATATACTTCTGTGGATATGTTAGTACAATTCTAAAATGATTTATTTGCATGGCTACAAAAATTTCACGGTTGAGGACTGAAAACAGGGCAGGAACAGGAGAGGAATCATCATACAGTAAATCCTATCATATTAAATTCTTATTTAATGAAGCCTCATTGTCAAGCTTCACACCAGGAATCAATAGTAAATCAACTTCCCCTTTGTTCAGTGCTAAACTTGATATGGCAAAAGACTAGTTAGAATCAGACTATCATGCATAGCATACTTAGACTAAAAATTTCATTTTTATCTTGCCTTGCTGTGTTAACCTGTACTTGGTGAGTCACTTAGTGGTCTTGAGCAATCATGATGTATTTACATAACAGTTCTTTCTAGCCTGGGAACCACTGGTTTCACTTCACCTGCTTCAGCCCTTATATCAATGTTGGTGCACTGTTACACCGACTTCAGAAGTGATTGTTAGGGGAAAAATTATTTTCATCCTTCTCTGCCTAGTTACACTGACTGTATTTACAAAACACTCTTAATTCATGGCTATCTGAACAATGAATTATTAAGTTCACTTGATTGCATGACTCCACTCAATGAATTGAAACAAACCCCACAGTAAGTACTCATCAAGCATATTTTACCTTAGCATGTGCTAATCCAGCTATTAACAGAATAAAATATAAGATCTAGACCAGGGGTGTCCAACCTTGGCAACTTTAAGACTTGTGGACTTCAACTCCCAGAATTCCTCAGCCAGCAAAGCTGGCTGAGGAATTCTGGGAGTTGAAGTCCACAAGTCTTAAAGTT